ATGAATATCTAAAGGGTAGGTGTCAAGAGGACGAGGACACTCTTTTCAGTGGTGCCCAGTGACAGGGCAAAGGGCAACGGGCACAAACTGGAGCGCAGGAAGTTCCACCTGAACGTGAGGAAAAACTTCTTTACTCTGAGGGTGGCAGAGCACTGGCAAAGGCTTCCCAGGGAGGTTGTGGTGTCTCCTTCCCTGGAGATATTCAAAACCCACCTGGATGTGATCCTGTGCAACCTCCTCTGGGTGAACCTGCTTTGGCAGGGGGGTTGGACTAGATGATCTGCAGAGGTCTCTTACAACCCCTGCCAGTCTGTGATTCCATGAAAAGGGAGGCTGTAATTTGTCAATGAACACTGGCTTTTTCACTAATCCTTTAAGGCCTTTGTGGAACTGAAATTCTTGTGACAACCTTTTTTGCACTTCTAAAAATCAGAGTATATAATGTTCTCAAGCAGATCAATCAAGATGACAGCAGCCTTTCTTGGAGTAAGGAAAGAGAGTGGTAGTTGTTGGTTTTTATTTAGTCAAAATATACAAAAGCCAGGGTTCCTGAGTCTGGACAGCAAATTTGGGTATCCTCATTTTTGCCCTAAGTTAAGAGACCTTAAGAAAGCATATTTGATTGGTGTTTTCAGAAGCTGCTGAACTTCCAAGTCAAATCCTCAGAAATGGAGGCTTTTAAAATCTTGGGCCAGAAGTCCTTGCAGTAATCCCAATTGTGGTTATAGTTTTGGATGTCTGGATTCTGTGATCGGCTGATACATGTCTCTCTCCACACCAGTGCAGTGACCTTTGTGTTTCAGTTGGGACCAGTTTAATGGTGCATTTATGCATCAAAAACACGTATTTCAGCTGCAGTGATCTCACTAGACCTATGTACATCCTGAGGGGAGTGGACTGTAGTGGCTGAGTGACTGAATAGCTGATCATTTTTCTCCTTTCAATTTCCTTGTGTGGTGGCAGAAATAATGAATTTAAACTGTTGTGGGAAGGTAGGACTAGGAGACTAACATGGTGCTGCGGAGCCGTTCAATTGCCTCTATCCGTCTGGAAGCTCTGAATAGCAGATAACTTTTTTTTTTTTTCTCCTTAGGTTTCCGACAAAAATGCAATCTTCAATTTAATGCTCCGTGACCTGGGGGAGCACCCCGAGAAGGTGGAAGGTGTAGGACAGCTACTTTTTGAGATGTGCAAGGGTGTTCGAAACATGTTCCACTCTTGTGCAGAGACGGTAAAGATGAGAGAAGATGACTGGTTTAAATGTTGCTGTAATGGAGCTTTAGGCAGTGCTCAGTGAAACCACTGAGTGTTGTCATATTCACCTCGGTGGATCCTTGGTGATAAGCATGTTGTTCATTCCTTAATAAGATCTGAAAGCCCTTTTCTAAGAATATTCTTTGAGATAGGAGGGTTGTTTTTAGTAATTCCTATGCAGTATTCCTATATATTAAAATAGTACTGCATGCTGATATTTCAGATTTTAAGTGTTAGCCTTTTTTTTTTTTTTCTCTCTAGTCATTCTAGAAAGAATCGCTATCACTGGAGTATTTTAGCAGTATATGGCACTAACTAATTTTAGGATTGCTATATTATTTTGTAAGTATAAGAACATGATGTGCTATTTCTTTTGCAGGCTATGAAGTTAATTCTGTTAAAGCTGGGGCCTATTACTGAAGCAGAAATTGAACTACCGTGGGCAACTGTAGGAGAAGCCTTTGAGCAGATGATCAGATCAGCTGTACTCCATATCCATAAGGAGCATTTTGACATTGTCTTCAAGTGCCTGGAGGTACACTGTTATTTATTTTTTTGTTGTTGTTCATGGGAGACTGTGCATTTATCAAGAAAAGTATTGTGTCTTATTGACCAGAATTGTGTGGTTTCTGCTTTGGAAATGATAAGTAGAGTGTCATGTGCATAGGAAAAATCCCACTCTTCTTTTGGAAGTTCAGAGTGACCCTGGTGGCTGTGCTGTGAGTGTGAAGTGAGCTGCTGTGTGTGAGACTTGGAACCTAGTCCCATGTCTGGGCAAGGAGGTTTTGTAGGATCTGCCTGTGCAGAGACAGACATCACAGGCCCATTGCTGGAGTGAGAATGCTAGGGCTTGCTTTATATTGCTGAAGTAGGTATATATTGGTGGTTCTGAAATCTCTTAGTGGCAGTAAAGGGGCAGCTTTTTGCTTTGCAGCTCTACAGCTTTACAGCAAAGATCTGGGCTGAACCTGGAAAGCTAAGATGAAGCCTCAGAGCCAAGTACTGAAAATCACAGTGATTTCAGCCTCGGTGTTCCTTTGTTGCTGCTTGGGGGTTACACTCTGAGGTTTGAGGGAGCACAGCTGAGTGCCATGGGCTGTGCTGTGTTGGGTTAAGGTGATGTGGAATGATGAGGAAGGGCCTGGCAAGTGTTGTATACTTACCTGATCAACATTTAGGTGCTTTTACTAGCAGTTGGGATTTGCTAAGGGGGATCAAAACCTCTTGCAACTGACACATGTGTCAGTTGTGCTCCTCAGAGGGGTGAAATGGGAAACTGGAGGAAATAGTACAAGTGGACTTTAGTGTAGTCCTTCCTGCATGGGTAAGTAGTCCTGTTTGTTCCTTCTTGGAACTGCCTCCTTGTGACTATCTATAGTTTGCCAGAAAATCCCATTCTGTTCCTTCTACCTCACCCAGTATGACAGCAATTGTTGCCTAACTGTCATTGGCTACAGAATGATTTGCCACTGGATGTTTTGTGTCCCTGGAGGCTGAGTCACTTAACATCTGCAGTTGTGATGAAGTCTTGGAAATTGGTGACATAATTCCATCCAGTTTTTAATGAGGCTTGTTTTTTTTACCCTGGGAACCAGTGGGTGCCCTGGGGGTACCTTGCTCAGAGGGAAATATTCACATAGTCTATGATAGCTCTCTAAATTTGGTTCAATTTGTAGGATTAAGGTTGGGAGTTTATATTCTCTGGACAGAAAGAGACAGTAATGGGAGTGATCCAGAGCAGCTCCACTATCTGTATAATGTAGACAATACGAGTAACCTCTCAGCATCCACATTAGCGTAATGATGCATAAAGTGTAAAAGTACTTAAGGTCTGCTAATTCCAGTGGAAGCTGGGTGCTTCCAAACCATTGTGAGTCTGGGGCCAAGTAGTTCTTTCTCTTTTTCTTTCTAATTTTGTATGTCATGTATTGGCCTTTCAGGAGACCCTCACCTTCGGAGATATTTGTGTTTCTGTCCAAGGAATCTGGGATGTGTTTTTACATAATGGGGATCACATGGTGTTTTTGCAAGGTTTAGTTTGTTGAGTGTGAACGAGAGAGTCAACAATAGTTTGTCCAGCAGATGAGAAGTTGATTCTTTAGAATGCCTTTCAAATAGCGGTAAGTGAAAGAAAGTCTGATCATTTCTTTGAAACATTTTGCTTTCCTTTTTTATTTGAATAGGAGTCACTCTTAGACTTGCAGAGGAAAATAACTAAGGCCAACTGCTGTATAGCTTCAGAGCAGATGGAAAGGATTCTGCAAGCTTATCTGATCCTAGTGAAACATGCAAATGGATCCAAAATCTCAATGCCTGAAGATGTCTGTCAGGTAGGTCAGACCATCACTTTGGCTGATGTGCCAGAGAAGTATCAATGTATGTGGAAGAGGCGTGGTCAGCTGAAGCGCTCGTACACATTTCTGGTGCATCTGGGCTTAGGGTTGAGTTGACTGTACAGGAACGTTTGAGTGTTGCTACGTCTCTGATCCTACGAGAATTTGCCTCTGTGCTGTAATGCTGGTGTAGTCCTCCTTTAAACGGGCAGGGGGAAGGCTTCTAGAGACCAGTTCCTGCCACTGTGGAGGTGACCCAGACCCCGCTATCATTGGAAGAGCAGTTGTACCAAGTTCACATACGTTTGACCCCATTGGGTTCAAATGTAGGTTTAGTGCCTTCAAACTTTGTCGGGACTATTAGGATTCATTTCTGTGGGCTGAAGCTTAGAACACCATGCCCTCCTGCTCCAGTGACTGTCCAGGTCATTGGGACCAGACGATCGCTATCTTCATAGACAAATATCAGTTCTCCGTCTTTCATTTCAGATTTTAATAAAAATGTTACAAACACCAGATCTCTCATCATCTTGCTGCAAGACCCTGCTGAGCACAACTGCTGGCCGAGAAAGTTTTCTTGCCTGATGCCTTGACCAAGGAAGCTATTGAGAAGGTAACAAGGACTGCTGCTTATAGCAGAAATCCCAGAGTTCAAGTTCCCTAGAACAGGCTGGTTTCAGAACATTCTGCTTCAGGCTGGGAAATATGCTATAAGGTTCAAACATTTGAGAATATTTGTGTGGGCTGGGTTAAACTGGAGGAGGCTTAAAGCTGTCCTTGTCTTCTGAAGGGTCTGGGAAAGGGAGATCTGGGTGTGTATTTCTATTTTTCACATCTCCATGTTGAAGAGCACTGATCTTGGGTATCTCAAAGGACTGTTCCTGTCGTGGTCCATCAGAAGCACAGAGGTTGGCTCTGCCCATGAAGTGGTAAACTTTCTGCAACCTGCTACTCAGGAAAAACACTGAGTGGAAAGATCTTTTGGGCCTAAGCTTTTTCCTACCAGTTTGTGTGTCTATGCTGCAGTCCTAGAACTTTCAACTTACATTTTCCACATCACACTAAAGAGGTACCTAAACTGTCTTTGCACAGGGCCAGCTTGGATCCATCAGGGTTTGTTGAAAGGGGTTGTGTCAGCAGGGTTTGTCAAAAAGGACTGTGCTTTTCTGTACCTGAACTGTCACTGGAAACAGTATTTCTGTGTGTGCCTGAATTAACAAGCCCTGCTGGCCATGAAGAGAGCCAGGCTGGGTGTCTCAGAGTTCAAAGCATGTTTGGTTCATAAACCAGAAAAAATGTCCCTTGAGTAATGGAGAGGTGACTGTGAAATGTCATTTGTGTCTTGCAGGTATTTGCAAGTGGATTTGAACGGTGCTTTCTTTTGGACTTCTCTGAAGCGATGTTCACAATGAAGCAATTTGAGAGGGTAGGTGGAAGCTTTTGTGCATTTTGTTTGGCTTTGTTGCCAAAGGGAACAACTGGGAAATCCATAGTATGTTTACCTGCCTTGTATGCTGAAGCATTTTTGTGCATTGACATGATGTTTGTTTAGACTTCTGGCAGGATCTGGTAAGAATCTTAGGCCATTGTGTTGAAGTTCGGTAATGGTGCTCAGGGTTGGAGAAGGTTACAGGTGTCTGTGCTCACAAAAAAGAAACTTATCTGTTGGGAATTAAAGGGATGGCTTGTTAAGGATGGGATGAAGAGAAGGAGTTCTGGGGAAAGTCAATGGAAATGAAGAATAAGGAATGTCTGATAGGTTAGGCCTGGAACTGGTGATCTGGGAGGAATCAAATTAAATTAAATGGAATGGGAGGTGAAAGTAAGGTTGGGGATCTGGAATGTTCTGATGAGACTAGATTTGGGGCAAACTAACTTTTTACATCAAATGACTGTCCCTTCTAGGGTAGGAGGATGTCTGTGTGCTGGTGTGTTGGGGCACCAGGACTGATAAGTCTGGTGCTTTGCTGGCTCATTTGTGAGTGTTTGCATTCCCTTGTGGCTGATGTCGCGTGTTCTTTGTGGATTTGGTCATGATTAAAGAGACTTACCAATCCTTAACTATTTTGTTTGTTTGTTTATCCCTTCAGCATTTTCTTCCATGCTTTCTAGAGTACATTGAGCATTGCTTCTCTGGCACAGACGCCCTCACAAAGGATGAGGCAATGGCAATTCTGGCTAAACTCATTCTGGTGAAAGCAGAGCCTCCTACCATTGGTTCAATGGCATTTGAAAAGTATCCCCTCGTTTTCACTGAATCATCTGTCAGGTGAGACTTCTCAAGTTTAGCAAATGCTCAGTGTGTCTGCATGGCTGCGGGCCTGAAGGCAGTGCAGAGATACGTAAGAGTTGCCCCCCAGTATTGGCACAGAGTGCACGGAGTTGTGTAAATGGCAATTTTGCTGGCAGATTCGCCAACCAAGTGATACAGTAAGATCCCATTTTTCTCTGAGATTATTTGAGAGGAGATACTGCTCTGGATAGGTTATCACTGATATAAAAAGGCTCGCAAGTGTTGCGGTTGGTGTGTGATCCGGATTTGTGATGCTGAGATGCATGCTACATCCTTGGGCAGCTAATCTTTGTAGTGGGTGCTGCAGTCCAGGTTCTCATCATTACTAACCTCCTGCCTGTGTTCCCATCTTTCTTCCCTGTATGCATACATCTTGTCCAGGAGCTTTCTTGGCAGCAGTACCATAGTCTTAGTAGAGCACAGCTGGGTACCAAAGGGCATGTGGTTAATCCAGATGCAGGACTGTGCTGGCACAGCTCAACATCTTCTAATTGCAAAGCTAGCTTTGTTGCAAGGAAGTGGTTATTTTCCCCCTGGAGCCTCTTTGGAAAGGTTTGGGGTAACCACTGTCAAGCATAGAGGGACCGTTGCGAATTGACTGATAACGATTGTTCTAATCAGTCTAGCTCAGATAATTCAAAACTTTCACCTGCAGAGTGGTGACTTGTATTGCCTTTTATGTAAGGTTTTATCTTTCCTAAAAGCAGTCCACTCCGTGGGTGTTTCCTATTGTTATTTGATAGAGTGGAGGTATTAGGGTTTAGGGAACAGAAGATTCAATCAAAATAATTAAATTTGGTTTTCTTCCCTTGTTTTCTTTGTCTTTCGATCTCTAGATTTTCAGTGGTATGGAGTACATAGCTGAGAGGACCTTAGTCCTAGTTGGGACTCTTTTGTACTCCTGCAATGTCAGTGGTAGAAATGAGGACTGGGAGACATCTCAAGAGTTGCATATCCCGATTCGTACCTAAGGTGGAATTAGCAATTCCTGAACCAGTCCTGAAAGAAGTCTGACCAAATTGTTGTTAAATACTCCAATTCTGGAGATTCCCAAGCTGCCCCTGGCAGTCTGTGCCGGTACTTTGCTGTCCTTATAGTTACACAGGCATTTGTTCTTTGGTTTTTTTCCCAGTCCTCAGTGTGTGAACTAACTTCCTTTACTGCAGTTTAAATCCATTGCTGCTTATCTTATCTGCAAGGAACATGAAAAGCAGAATATTTCTTGCTCTTTGCATCCAGCTTTTGCAAGTAACAGGCTTTGATCATCAGAAACATCTGAAATCTTCTTTCTCTGGTCCAACAATCCTAATTCCTTGAGGTTTATCTCATAAATTTTGTTTCTTAAACCTCTAATGATTCTTGATGCTTCTTTTTGTTAGCTTCTGTATTTCTTGAAGGATGGAGCCTATGCAGCCTTCTAACTGTGGTCTTGCGAGCACTGGGTGGAAAGATTGCTGTCCATGGGGTACGATGTACTCCTGCTTATATGTTCCCGTATGGTGTCAGCCCTTTCTGCCTGCAGATAGGCTTTTTGATTTGTGCACAGCTTGAGATTCCTTTTAAGTCCCCAAACTTTTACTTCACTGGTGGTTTTCTGTCAGCCATTAGTCTTATCTATGTCAGCGTGATCATGATTTATTAACAGTAATCACAGAGATGACTCTCAGGTGCTCCTAGAGGCTCTGTGTCCTAGTTGTGAGGTGTCCAACTGAGAACCAGTGTCTTTCCTTCTAGAAATATTATTTAAACTTGACATAAAGACCTGGCATTTCTTGTGGGCCATGTTTTGTGCTTCTCAGCATGACTAGGTGATACTTTGGGCTGTAGAGGACATGGAAAAGAAAAAAAAACACTTGGGTTGTACCAAGTCCCTTTTGCTACCAAGTAGCAAACATAATTTTGAATATCATGGGAGGAAAAGGAACAATCTGATATGCAGTGGTGACTCACTAAAAGTTTGATTTTATTTTTAGCTCTAATACAAGGCAACAAACAAGGAAAAGACAAGGAGGAAAGGCAGAAGTCCCAGTCTTAGATCATGTTCTGTCTTTAATCCGTTTACCTGAGAAGGAAGACATCACTGACCTTTCACAGCCTTGGGTTGCCTTGGTTGTACTGCCACATATTAGGTAAGGGATAATCTAAGATACTATTGTCATGTGTTTCTGTAATACTGTCTAGTTCACTATCTGTCAGAAATAATTTTACTGTGGGAAGGACAATAATTACTGACCCTAGTTTGGGGAAACTAGGGTTAAAAGCTGAAAAAATGCTGTGTGGAAATACCATGAGTCAGTAGTAAAGTCAGAAATAGAATATCAGTTTCTTGATTGCCTGCTCCCTAAATTTAGTAGTCTAGTACATAGAGGTGTTCTTGACATGTTTCAGTTTCTGTGTTTTAAGCACTGTCCTCTCTAGACAGTGGTTTTTTTCAATAATTATGATGCCCTTGCATGGAAGGAATAGTCAGAAAGAAGGTGCAATGAATACTACAACTTAAATTGAGATTAGAAATAGCAAAAATGGTTTGCTGCTGGTTTCAAACTTGGAGTGAGCTATCTGTAATTTAATACAAGATGAATGTGAAAGAAAGCTTTCATATGTCTGTGGGTGTCAATGTAACAGAGATAAGTCTTTCGATTTATTTTGGACAGACCAATGGACAAAGAAAACATTCTACCCTGTGTGACAAGTTTTATAGACTCTCTCTTCACAGCCATTGAGAAAGGAAGCCTCTGCAAAGGTCAGATATAGTTATTTCCTGTTTATTTGCTTTTTGTTGATACGTAAAGAAAAATAAAGTCGTTTTCCTGAAGACACAAAGCATGAAAATGAATAGCAATAGCATTGTATCCAAATTTATTGACCAGCTCAAGTAAAAACTAGAAAAACAAGGTTGGGAGGGAACACCCTCCAGGAAATGATTCTACATTTGCTGTTGGTAATAATGGGGTGGCAGATGTTCTGCAAAGTGGACGACAGAGATAATTGGGTAGGAAAAGGAGAAAGGTAGAAAAAAAGAGGATAGAAATCAATCTAAACCAGATCCAGGCTGAAGCAGTCAAGTGAAGGAGAGACTGTTGACTTACAAGCTCTAATTAAACTATTCCAAATCAACAGTGCGAAGTTTGGGACATTACCATCTCTGACCCTAAGTGACAGCACCAATTCTAAAATGTTGCACCTTTTCTTCCAGGCATGGGTGGTCACTAGATGTCTTCCCTCTCTGGCCAGAAAGAAAAAAAAGTTTTAACTGAGCTTGCATTGGGCAAGGCAGTTGTTACTTGGTGGTACTGCAAGTATTTGGCCTTGTGCCAAAGTATAAGCAAGTATTGGACTGCCCCGTGTTCAGTGTTCATCATTCCTTGGTTTGAAAGGGCTTGTCTAGAGTCTGGCATTTTCCTTTTATGATCCATTTATTAACATTCCTAAATGTATCCAGCAATTGGCCGTTACCTTTTCTTCTCTAGTCTTTGTCAAGCACGGTCCTTTTTCATTTAGCCCTTCTATCCTATTTGCAGGGTTTGCATGCTGTTGTGGTTATTTTAGTGGCAATGCACTTGCTCTAAAAAAGGAATACCCAGACTTGGGTGTCATCTTTGATGGCAGTAGTAGCAGCTCTTCACCAGCTCTGTGTGTGTGCAAGAGGCTCATTGCTATCTCTTCCTTTGCCCATGAAAGAGAAGAAAACAAATGCAACCTACACTCTTGCTTTTTATGTCTCATCCTACACTTCTTGGCTTGATTTTCCTCACCCTCATCCCAAACTAGGGTTCCTGGATACTTTCTTCATCCTCTGGCATTTTTTCCAGCTCCTTCTACTAGGACTCCAGCCTCCTCTCACTGCCTGTGCAAGGCACACCCCAGCTCCCTTTTTGACCTGCTTGACCTCTGAGGCCTGAAGCAAAGTGCAAATCCCAGAACTGGGGTGTTTTTCAACAGTTACTGTGGAGTGCAGGGAAGCTGGCTTGTGAACTGGGACAGAGCAACAGCGAGTTACCCCTGGCAGCTGTTCAGGGGTAACTGCCTGTAGGGAAGGGCTTACCCTAATGACCATATAGGTGTGTCTATAGCGAGGTGGGAGCTGCTATCTTTGTCCAGCACAAACGTACTACTACTGAATGGTACACAGATTACAGTTGGGGAACCTGTACCCTTACACTACAGGTGCAGAAAGCTTCATCCTGCCGTTACTTGCTGTTTCTTCTCTCTGTGAGGAGCTCCTTACAGAGGTTAATGGTGAGCTGGATTCGGCACACACCTGGGGAATTAAGCAACTTGGAATAGAGGGACTTTTTTTAAAAAATAAATGGAAAATTAATGCTCACTTCCCCTTCTTTTCCATGGCAGCTGGCAGCATGTAAGAAAATGACATCGTTTAAAAACTTTCTTCAGTTTGCCTGGTTTAGGAACAGTGTTCGTTCTGCTTGGGAGGAGATGGAGAGGGGATTTTTTATTTTTTTTTTTTAAACAACCTACTTGCTAACTTAGGAGTATCAGGGGAGAGGAACTGCCCTTCCTCTTTCTTGCCTGAAAGGTCTTTGGCTCTCCTGTGCTTCTGGGAAACCCTCCATCCCTAAAGGAGTCTGAGAGGTTTAGGAAGGAGATGCAACTGCTGTAACAAAATTCAGCAGATCTACGGTCCATTCACTAACAAACATTCAGTCTTTAAGTACATGGGACAGCTTTGAAGATCTCATACAGTAGCACATTGCCAAAGTTCCAAAGTTTATAGGCACTTGTGTGGTAGCATCAGTATATATTTTTGCTTTTATTTGGGGGTATTCCTGTCAATTTGGGCAGCATTTCTTCATTTCTGAGTGCCATTTATAGCATAGAGCTGTCTGAGACTCCTGCAACAGTACTTAGCTCCAGATCTCTGCTCTCTGTATGTGGATGTGATGAAAACAGATGCAAACTGGGAGCTGCTTACAGCTTTCAATGCTGGCTTGCTGGAGTAGGCACTTGCTTTGATAGCCAGAGGAGCATTTCCTTTATGGGTTATGATAATGGTTAGAAAATACACATGTCAATTCCGGGATCCGTATGTTACCGTATTTGTGTGGCTCCAGCCATTTCGGGATGGGCAGGTGCCATGCAAACAAGTCACTGAGAGCTGAGTAAATATACAGGCTGTTCTTGTTCTCTCTCTGCTCCAGGAAGCCTGTTTGTGGCCTGCCAAGCTGTGAGTACACTTCTTAGTTTGGCGGAGTCTTCTGAAATACTCCATTTGTTACCTGTGGAGCGTGTCAAGAGCTTGGTGACGTAAGTAAACTCTGCCTGTTCTGTGATCCTTCATGAGTCTCCTTGATATGGCAAAAAATTGACTTTACCTTTATGTAGAGGCTTGTTAAATGCCTCTTTGTGTGTTGCTTGTTCTGTTAGGCCAGTGTGTTCCTTCAGTGTTGTGATTATACGAGGTAGCAATGTTGTAGGCACCATTTGTTTGGAGAACCAGGTAGATGTAGTGCCTGTTTAGTGACATTTCCTCTGCAAACTGGAGCTTTCTTAGACAGCTGCAGGGTAGTGTGTCAAACACTTGCTTCTAGTTTCACCTAGGAGCGCTGTGTTTAGTAACTGTTACATTATAATGATAAAAGAGACAGAAACAGCATATTCTAAGTTGTGTCAAAAGCCTGAACTTCTGGAGTCTTTTGATGGTGTTGGGATTCCACCATATCCTTACATACGCACGTGTGTACTTGGTCCACAATGGGAGGAGGTTTTGTATGCTCCATTTTATTTATTGTAGCTCTCTGCTAATAACTAGTGCACCTAACTGAGTGACTGGAGGGATTGAAGGAGACTGTTGCTCTCTCTCCAGCAAATCCT